TTCATTTAGATCTAATTGGAAGGAGCATGGTTATTGAGCCCAGTGTCAATCACCCTGCGTTAGGAGAAAAAACACAATAAATCTACAATGAACAGATGCTACACTCAAAATAGCCACACTGCATCACCACCAAAGTATTTTTAGGCCGTACGTTGAATAGTTGAATACTTCCAGATCGGCCTGTTCATATTTTTGGACAGGTCCGTTGGCCACTTATGTAAAACATCTGTAGGTGGTGGTAATACAGCTAATTCTTCCAACAACATCATCTTTCTATATTTCTCCATCAAGGTTAGCCGGGGCAGAGAGATAACACAAAGATGTGTGAGGCAGAGCGCGCCTGTGTGTGTGGGAGAGGGCGGGGGGAGGAAGGGGGTGGGGGGAGGCGAGGTGAGTCATCTGGATGAGTCATGTGCAGCATGTGTGGACAGAAAAGGACAACGAAGAAGAGGCTACAATACAAAAGCTGTGCAAGGGACAGATGTGATCAGAACCATCCACACATGAGCCAGACCATTATGACCACAAGGTTATGTGGGGGATACCAGAGCGTCATCAAGGCGCCCTTTAGTCGTGAGGGAATGTGTTGATTCGAGTGCATTTTGACTGCCTTAAAAATAGATTCACCAATGGGACAAGCAAAATGATCTTGATTAAATAGATACAAGAAATGTCTCCTTTAGAATGAGACAATAAAGCATCAGTTCTTCAAATAAGACTAAATGGCTTTGTCCCATTGGCAAATCTTGTTTGAAGACAGTCAGAATAAACTCAAAAACCACTGGATTCAAGCAAATGACGTCTCCCAGCTCAGTTTCAACAGCTAGGCAATTTTTAGTGGCCCTCCTAATGATTTTCCATTTCTATTTGTTTTTATTAACTTGCAGCATTGATGGTAATGACGACCAAGGCACACATCATCTGGCCCCTGACCAAAACGAGTTAGACACCCAGGTCTTAGACCTTCTTTGACATCGCTTACTCAGTGATGGCCAGAGGGGGCGGCCCTCAGAACTTTTCGGAATGGGACCAACAAATGACATAGAGAATGAGCTGAGAAGATGTACATTTGTAGTTACACGTAGTTATATTATGCAAAACTGGGTCTGGGATTTCTTCTTTTGACAAAAATTGTGTGATAGAAAGGTCCGTTTGATAGGATTAATGTAGATTCATTACAAATATCTACACAGCAGAGGGGAAAATGGACGAGCAGATCATCAGTGTAAATTAGTAACACACAACAAAGTAAATCTTTCTGGTATAGTATGACTCATGTATCCCGGAGAATCAGAAAACAAAATATTTCTGATTTTGTCACATTCTGAAACACTTCCGGAAACATGAGGCAGATCTATCCCCATGAACACAAACAACACCTGTGCTACATCACGACCAAAAGTTTACCGCCACAAAGTCCTTTAAGCTGAGTCAGAGGGTGAATTAACCCACTATTCTTACTTGGAGTGAGTCAGATAAAGAAATACAGGTTTGGAACAGCCTCATGCGTATGGTGCATCCAGCTCCTCTGAGAATGACCAAAAGCGGCTCCATAGCACCCTAAGATATATGACGACAGTAACTCAGCTGGTAGAGCATTGGCCTTTGAGCCTGAAGGTTGTGGGTTCGAGCCCACCACAAGACTTTCTCCACCGACTCCCACTGTCTGTGTCTTTGTGTCCTTAGGCAAGACACTTCACCCACATTGCCTAGAATGAGTCTGCTGTGTGTGTGAATGGCTGGTGGTGGTCGGAGGGGCTGATGGCACATAATGGTTGCCTCGCTTCTGTCAGTGTGCCCCAGGACAGCTGTGGCTACAGTAATAGTTTATCACCACCGTGCATGGAGTGAATGAATAATGACATGTAAAGAGTCTTTGAGTGTCCAAAAAAGCGCTATATAAAACCGATGCATTATTATTATAATATATGTTTACATGCTATTGTTTTTAAGCAAAACGTCTATAGGGCTCAATCCTGTCTAAACTAAAAACTAAAGGTAATAAAAAGAGTGTGTAACAACAAAAAACAAGGGATTTTAAATTAATACCTGTCAATTAAGTTTTTTAAATAAATGAATAAAGAATCCAGGGTAAAAATAAAAACACGAATAAAAATAAAAAAATGACCTGAAGCGACAAACAAGACATGGTAAGGACACAAAATATAAACATACACAGGGAGACACAAGTGGAGTGGAGGGCAGTTAACAGAACCAGAAGAAGCCCTCAATATACAGTATGTAGGACAGGAACAATAATAGTCCACACCATGATAGAGTGGTAATGATAGTCCACCTCCAGGGCAGACCTCACCCCCCTCCAGGAACACATGTCTGGTGCCACCACGCATCAGGCTCCAGTGAAACACACAAATATCTCTCCAACACATTTCCACACAATAATGTCTGGCGCAAGGAGACACAGATCATTAGAGAGACAAAAATGTGGACAATATTGTGTGGACATAATAGGGTTTAGTGTGCATTACTTTCGTGTTTTCTCTTCATTTCTCTGTCACTTACAGGGGGAGGTGGGATAATAATCAGCAGAACATTTGTCTCTTGATATTTTCCAATATAGAATTTGGATCAAAACAAAGGCTACATGATTTATCCCACTCGGTAATTTGTTTGAGCAGCACACGGCATGAAAAACTTAATCAAGGAGCTAAAATTATGACATAGTAAGAAAATATTGCACATATTGGTGTATTTTTTATCCACTCCACCGGACCCTCACTCGGACCCTCACCCTCACTGTTCGGACTTTTATGTTTTTCGTGGTAGGAGAAGGCTCTGCGATTGCCTGAAGAGAAAAAACTAGAGACATTTTCCCCCAAAAGTCAAACCTTCAACCTTTTTTCTTTTGATATTTCCAAATCTACCTTTTTATGCATTTGGAATGAAACAATATACCACTCTACACTTTCCCAGCACATTTCCTGTTAACACATCAACACCTTCTCCGCAGCTGATGACACCATCTTGTACTGGAAGAATTAAACTGTGAAACAAGACTTCTGGTTCCTTTTTCTAATACGGTACATTTAAATATACCCTGAATCTGTTTATGCCGAGGCTGTTTGGCGAAAGAAAAACTGCTGCTGTATGAGCGGCATGAGGGTGAGAGAAACTGGCGTAAAGTGAGAATGGAGAGAGAAAAATTAAATATTGAACAGAGAATAGCAGAATACAAATGATGCAGAGAGAAAGTCAGGATCATGAGGAAATGTACTGTGCAGGTGCTTCTACTGTACTGCACATGTTCAAACATATGTAGCAAACACATGTGCAATTACTTCATCCCAACTCCACCATCATGTCTTTCATGTTAAACATACACAAACACAGAACTATAAGCATTACAATTATGTCTATTCTCATGTAGGAAAAAGATGGCAACTTTTACGCCGCTTAGAGTGATATTCAGTATGGAGCACTAAAAACAAGGCAAAATGAGAAAAAACATACAGCCTACAAAGAGACAAAATGTGATTAAACCATAAGTAAAGCAGGATTATAGGACCTGAGCAACTACATCCAGATTATTCTATTCTCACAAAATGTATCTTATTATTATACTTATTTTCAGATTGTTACTTTAATGTTATTTTTTATTGTGAAATATTATGCAAGCTACTGTGACAACGCAATTTCACTTGTGGATCAATAAAGTCTGTCTAAGTCTAAAAATGTGCATAACTTCTAATCAGGAGTGAATGGCTTGTATAATAACAGTTGATTACGTGGCCATTGGTTATGCGGCAGTGCCATGAGATCTGACGTTGCTACACACTCATTCCGATATGTTTCTTTGAAGATTGATTTCTCTCAGAGAAGAAGTGAATGTGTTGAGAACGGGAACAGGCCCAGGAGGCAGAGTGCAGCAGGGGGCTGAACCGTGATGCTCAAGAATACAAGCTTCACTGGGAGCTGTATGTCCCAGTGACGTAATGCGCTTTCATACTTTATTCATGAATGCCGATAGATGGTTTGTGAGTAAGACTATTGGCCAGTGTAGGCTTTGATTCTTTATGATTTATTAATGATCCGTTCATTAGATTGTATATTTCAGCTTTGCTTCTGGTCCGTCGTTGGGTTTAAGACTTTAGATAATTTCATCATAATGGCGTCCAGTATCGGCAGAGGGGTGATTAAAATGAAGGAAATGTACATGTATCCTTCATGAAATGCAAGAAAATTACAAAAGAAAATACCTATTAACATACCCATTACTAAAACACTCAATACTGAGCACAGACGCAACCTGTGATTGGAACACAGCGGTGGCGAATTCTGCTGGTTTCAATTGAAGGTCCCGAAGAGCCTCATTAGGCAAAGTTCTGGAAAAAGTTCCAGGGCCTTGGTCAGAGAGTTGATCAAGACCTCAATAATCACTCTCATCAAGCTCTGAGCAAAGGAGAGAACCTTCGTGAAGAACAGTGCAGCACTATGGGCCAAAGGGAAGAGGTTAGAGTTTGCTAGAATGCATAAAAGCCATTTTTTATGATCGTCCTTTGGAGGACATCAAACAAGAGTCTATGGTCTGATTCAAGGGAACAACTGTCAGACCAGGATGGCAAACTGATGTATGTGATATATTGTAATTTATGTTAAATAAAATAGCAAAGACTCTTTAAACGCTGCTTTATATTCTGTGGTCCGTGTGGAGCCTATGGGACCTTGTAACCAGGTTTCCATGGACAGCTGCAAAGAGCTCATCTATATGCATTATATTTTGGGATATTATATTTCATAATAATATTAGGAGTATATTTGAAATACAGTATAAATAATGGAAAAATTCACAGACTGAGGTAACACCACTCTAACATCATTTAATTGACTATTTTGTCATTGAAACAGTCCTCATTCTGGATCCCAGTCAGGTTCTCATGGTATAGGTTTTACACTGTTAACATTGAGAGCCCAGAACCTCAGCTTGTCTGTGTAAAAGGACAATAACAACATGGTCAATAAAAAAGCCATCGATAGTCCCCATGCTCCCTGCATACAACCCAAACAGCCCCCTGCGAGCCTCTGCGCCCCTCTCGCCTCTCGCCCCTCCCTCCAGAAACCCTCCTGTTGACTACGTCTTCTCGATGACGTAAGAGTCCACGTACATCGGCCATAGGTGATGCTTGTGAATGAATGAGAGTCCCCTCCCAACTCCATTACTAGTACTACGGGATGTCTATAAGAGCAGATCTCCGGGACAACCCGATGAATTTCAGCAAATAGCGCAGAGAACACATTAGAGGCAGCGTTAGAGCACGAGGAGAAAGAAACAAAGAGCATCCTGAAATGTATTTAGTTAGATAAAATGGGATTATAACAATTATTACTTCTAGTTGCATTTGTCGAAAGCTAGTTTCGTCTGGATTTCTAAAATAAGGTAAGTCGTGACTTTTTTTCTTTTTTTTTACATTTATATTTAATAACGTGTGAAAACAAAATACTAATCCCCATGGCGTGTAATGTAGATTAAGAACCATGCTTAGTAGACTTTAATTACGGTAGTTTTGAAATGTTCATGTTGGTGAAATGATCCTGTGTGAGACGTTTGCGAGGTAGAAGCAGAGGTATAGAAGTTACTGCAGTGTGAGTCACTTTGGCGCACATGGGCAGTGACAGCTGTGAGGAAAGCACGGACTATACAGACTGCATGTTGACCGTCTGAACCAGCAGACATGGGACAAGGGCACGACCACCTCACCTCCACACATCATGTCATGTGCCATGAATGCCAGGGGCTGGATAATCTGCCGATTTAGCTAAAATATACACGTTCAGTACCACATTCTCCCAAACCGGAGTATGTGACGTGAATTATCCGCCTTGCCTTTTGTTGTCCCAGCCTCTATTCTACACAGTGTATCTGCTCCTTTCATGTTGAAATGACTTCGTGACGTGTTTCTGAGACGGTCAATTTTGCGTCATTCCTGCGCACATGCAGACTCCCCCCAATCAGGTGGCAGAGAGCTCTTAAAGACACAGCACAGCCGGGCAGCTGCAGGGCCAGGGTGAGGGACGAGAGTGAGAGTGGGACCCAGGGACCCGCCAACACTCTGAGGTTGCTCAGTCAGGCTGCGAGAGCATGGTGTTCAGTTCCAGTCACCCACCTGTTCACGTGACTTCCATATGCGAAAAAACATTAATGTCACTATCAAAGGAATATGAATCATTTGCTCCATAGACGAACACATGGTTCAGTTCAGTGCCATGTGGTGCTGTCCGTGGTGCTGAAGAAGAGTTAGAAGAAGCTCTAATCCAGTGCGATGACAAATCACTATGTGTGGCCTATTGGCAGTCTTACACCATCGTACACAAGGTTCAGATACTGGATGTCAGCATTTAAGAAATAATTGTATGCCACAAATGGTAAACATTACTTACCGGATATTACTTTTTGCAGGTTTCCAACGAGGCCAGACACAACACAGCACTATTGTTAGCCTCATTACAGGTACAAAGAGCCAGTATTATAAACACACTGGCCAGTGCTTAAGTGGACTTGGATATCCTGGATGCTGACGTCAGCGCCTGAAGAACTTGCATAAGCCACCATTCCAGCCCCCTTTGCCACTGTCTATCCATTTCCTGTGTCTGACTCATGGATAATCGGCATGGAAATCAATACGCCTAACAAAACAAGTGCGCTCTAACCACACACCATGCAAGTCACCTTTGTGGGACAGAATGGCTGTGATGACATGTATATATCCTGAAGTGCCAGGTAACTAAGGAGCCTCAGCAACCATTTGTTTTATGTACTTCCTTATCTGTCCATCCTTTTGACTTGCAAACAGCCATCTGCCCCTTTCTGACCCCTACCTCCTATCAGTCAGTACATCAATACCTTGGCTCTAGACTGCTTACTGCTAAAACTCTTTTAAAGTACAGTAACAGTCTACAGTCATGGCTACTGATGTCTGGCAAATATCTCCCTGCTTGAATAAAAAGACAATAAAAGGCTATAATTGTACTTTAGATGAAGAGGTGGAGGATGCTGCTGTATTAGAGGATGCTGAAGTTTCCTTCCGGAGCCCAGCGCGTTTGCATCATCAGACCAGCAACAACGTCAGTGCCCACAGGAGCCTATCAAATCTCTCAGCTTGTCTCCATGGTGACCGTGGCATTAGATTGTTACTGTAGCAACAACACCACTGGTAACAGTCTACAGCCATGGTCGCTAGGGGGCAAATCTTGCAACAGATACGAAGGGGCCAAATCTTAAATTATGCAAATGTGCCACTAAGAACTCTGGGAAGTGTAGTGCAGGTTACAGCCATGGGGAAGTAATGTAGTGTGGTCAGCCATACGCACAAGAGGTCTACAGTTATCATGAACAGAAGTTTTTCATTATTTAGTAGGTTTCATACAGTTGCTTATTTTTGAGAAAATGCAATATAGTGAAGTAATAGTATAGTAACATGTGGATATGCGTCTGTATCATAGTTGTTGCATTATATTTATCACAAAAATTCAAAGCCCTACATACAGTATTTGTACATAAAAATACAGCTTTAAGAACCTTAAGAGATGTATAAGGAAAATGACTAGTTCCGAGTAAAACGGCTTCAAAATTGAATAATTATTTGGGTACCTACGTATTAATCTAGGCACGGCGTGACTGATGCCTACAAGAACACATATTCAAAGTGAACTGCGAGAGTTGAAACAAAAAAACTATATGCATTGAGTGTATGTTTTAAAAGTTTTTTATGTGATCTGTAAATCAAAGTTCAATAAAATCCTGGATCTAATTTCATATTTGTCGGTGATGATTTACACAGAATGCTTCTATTTTGACCACATATAAAACAGTATTCGCTCAACTGGACACAGAAACAGTAGTCAAATGTTCGAGGGCTAATGGCCGAACGACAGCAGGCTCTCCCACTCATTACTCATCTTTTACAACAATGAATAATCTTGCACTCACAAATCTTTCCTTCACAACATTTACAGAAGGACATTAGAGTATAACTATACAAACAGTACAGCTGAAACAATGTGTTTCACCGCAAATTTCAATAGTTTTCCATTTCCATTTCCACAAACTCTCAGTCTGTCATAACTATAGCCACTAGATGGGGTCTTGATCATGGGCGTCATAAACACAGATGAAAGTTTAGTCAGGAGTCATGCATGTCAAATGTCAATTTTAAATAATTTTACCACATGATACTGAGGTCAGTAGCATCATAAAAACATAATGCCGGCAAATGACAAAGACCAAATTATTCAATTATATAAACATGTTATGACAAGCTTGAAGTGTTGACTGTTAAAGGGACAAAATATGATTTTTATTTTTTATTCTGAACCATCTGAATATATCAGGGCACTGATAACCGATGTGGATCAATGCCCACTGATACAATCTGATGTGTACCAGTTGACGCAAGGTAAACTTGTACACATCATGTTGCTTTTTCTGATCAACATTTTTATTCAGATTTATTCTCAATTACAAATAGAATGAACATAATGACCTAATTATAGATTGAATTTACAGTGTGTGTGCTTAACATTCAAATAAGACACTGGTAAATGACGGTTTGGAGTGTATTTCAACATTATAAAACAAATAAACACACACTGACTGTAACAGAGATGAAACCACTGCAGCAATAACTTATTAGAATTGTATAGTATAGTTCTGTATGGTACAGTCTCATCAATAGTTTATTTAGGTTTAAAATGGATGACTTCACTTTTCGGAAAAGTGTTTTTGTTCTTTTTAGACCAGGCATGGGCAAACTTTTTCTCCTGAGGGCCACAGTAAAATATAAGCCTATATTGATGTGGGCCGGACCTAATTTCCAATGTTTTTTCTCAGGCTTCATCCTTTACACAATACATATTATATTGTACACCACAGCGGCATATGGAGGGGGACTACGGCTCCAGAGCACAACTCGCAGCAAAGTGAGAATTTAAAGTCTTTATAAATGAGGAGGGCTTAGGGGATAGACACGTCCAAAGGGCCACATCTCTAAAAACATCCTAAGCAGCCAATTGGCCTAATCATGCAAGCATGATTTAATCCACAAATACAATTCACAATACATATTAATTTCTCTGCCCATACAATGGTTGGACCCACACTCTTAGGCCAGGCATCTAATCCTCTCAATTTGCGGGGGAAAAGCAATTAATTTTTAATACTGAACAAATATTTGGAGTCCTAGTCAGGAATAGGAAAAGAAGATTTATGAGGCTTCTTCCATTTACCCTTACTTTGGAGCAGATGAATCAAACATCAGCTGCTCAGTAATTATTCCTCATGCTCACTGACCACAGTGACCAGTGAGTCACCACAAGTGGCCACCAGGGGGACATGAGACATAGCAACTTTTGTGTTTCAAAACAAGCACAACTATAACACTAATGTATAAGTTGTCAACAGGGGTCGTGTTTCAACAAAGTCATTTGTCAGTCTGGTGTACTTTAACTGCACCAACTATTTGTGGGGAAAATGCTTTACAAATCTGTTTCAACATGTTCATTCATTTATTTGTGGATGCAAAACCAAAGTGTGTTAAATGTGCATAGTGTCTGCTGCTGTCCATGGGAATACTGCTATAAACCCTATCATATCATTTAGATTTGGATTACTAATGCAGTGCCCGTCAAGGGTGTCCGTGCGTAGGAAGTATGTATCCCTATAGAGGGAGCTCCATGGGGGAGTGATTACATGTAGTATATTCAAATAATGGTTTTCAAAATTATTCACACAAAAATGATGCACACCTTCACATACAGCTTTGGTTGATTTGACTAACGGTCAGTCAAGACAGAGCAATGAAGTAAAAATCATTTTGACATGTTTGGTTATCAAAAGACATAAGTATTCACATGGACTAACCTCCGTGCTTTGACACAGTCTTATCAAGGCAGATTTTAAATCCAGTTTAATTCATATTAAATCTAAACACATAAAGGATACAATGAAAATACACATTGTGCAGTTCAATAAGATAAATATCACTGTGATGTAAAGTATATTAATTGTGTGTAATTTTCTTTAACCATGTTCTATGAATCTGCATACAGACTTTTCACTTAAAGCAACAAAATTGAAAAAGCAACAGGTTCTTTCTATACAGAGCCACACCAAACTATTGGATAGTAGTCAGCTGTGCATTTGCAGTAGAAACCAATGAGCATACAAGTGTTTGTTTATTTATTTACTTATTGACAGACTCTGGTATTAATATTTAATGAGGATTGAGAGCAGTCGTGACTAGCGCTGGTGCATGCATCAAGAAAACTCACCCCTCAGCCTTACTACCTCAGAATTGCAGCATTTAATAAAACCTTTAAAAAATGTCCATAATTTCAGGTAACATTTGTCGACAGAAGATTAGTCTAATCAGTCAGACTAATGTCGCACATACGCATTATTACATCAACTTCCTCAAGGTCATTGAAATCTGTTGCCTTCAGAGACCCACAGACTTGCAGAGTGCAAGGGAAAAAAAACCTGAGCACTGCCACGCACAGGCTGCTTCACAGGGAATTGAATTCACATGCACATTTATGCAGGATTTTCCTTTGTTGCCCAAGTTGCTCAAGATATATTAAGCTCTGCTATCTCTCAGCTCTGTTTGTTTGAAGGCAGCTGCTCCGTCTCTTTGGTTTATGACACAAACACATCCATCCACTCTGCACTGACCTCCCGCCAGCACCAGGCAGCAGTGGCAGAGGTAATATCAAGAAAGTGTCCATGGCTGAGCTGGTGTGATGGGTCATTTCTCTTGACAGCCACAGGGGGCGCACTGGTTCTGCTCACATGGCTTGTTTGATACTGGCTCAGAGCCTCGTTTCTGCAGAAAGGAGAGGAGCATTAGCACTTGGAACAGAGACAAACCTGCCTCAGACTGATTAGTCAAAATATAGGGCAATATGGCCACACCAGGGAGCCGCAATTAGGAGAAAATCCAGCAGAGAATCCAACTAATTTAATTATTGTAGTACCCTTAGATTTGTAACGCAAGGTCAAACTACATATTTTATTAATCAGCTTACACTGTAGCATCAGTGCCACTGGATGTCAGTGTGTTAACAGCAATGAGTAGAAGGCACAGCGTTCTCCTAATAGCCTCACTTTAGCCTTTGCTTGCACTGTCATTCATCCCATTATCCACTGCTGCTCACCGGGGCTTGTTTACGTGTAGGCAGCACTGGCCTGTTGTCAAGATGGTTGGGCGTCCATGGCCCAGAGCTGTGATTGGAGTAAAAGTCCATGGGGTAAACTTCCTTCCAGCTCACCTCTTGCAAAGCCACAGCTGCCTGACATACACATAAAACAAAGCAGGAAGTTACTCAGTGCACAGATGGATGCTTGCAGTAATACTGTGTTGTTTATATTTTGAATGAGTCGATTCCTGGTAAACCCCAGGCAAAAATAAACTCCATATTGAGACTGCTTTATGCAAGAATATAAAGAAGTTTAACAGGCTCCCCTTATGCAGAAGCACGGCATGAAACAGCAGCTGTTAGAGAAGAGCTTGAGTACTGTTATGTCAGTGCTGCGCCGTTAGTGCAGACTGCTCCATATGGGAGAGACTAGTCAGAATATTGATCGTAAGAGACAGAAAGTGTGTTGAACTGACCAACAGACCAGCTGACCACAGTACAGTGCCAAACAAAACAAAAATACAGACTTTTAGTTCATTAACAAAAACAGTCAATAGAGCATCATCCATTAACAATTACACAGGACCCAGTTAAAAAAAAAAAAGTCATCCATTTGTGGCTGACGCAGACAGTCCTCTCTTGGCTCTCCTCTCACATCTCTGTCTGTGTGGATGCTAGCTTTTCTTGCTAATCCCTGCTCTGACAGGAGAGCCAAGTGTCTTATTGACTATAAATATAACATGAGACGCCTGAAAATAAATTCTGCCCCTCACTCCCACCCTCCACCCCCTCCCTTCAGCCTCACCCCTCTCTCATTTCTCTTGCTGAGATTTGTCTTTTTACAAAAATCTATTGAACAAAAAACACCCAGAAACATACCAAATGTACCAATTTTAAGAGACATGAGCTGAAGTGAGACACATAACAAGGCCTGTTGTTAAAAAAGTACAAGCAAATGGTGGTGCTTTTAAGGGTTATGCTCTTAAAACTGTTGCGCAAGTACATTCAAGTTTGAAAGGTAAATATCTAGTTTTGCCTAGGGATGGTGTGATTTAAAAGTGTAACCTAATTGAGAAAAACCAAAGTCTAAAACACATTTGATGTATCCAGAGCTACACATGATCACAAATGTTATAGCAATTATCATAATGAATATTCTATAAATTGCTGTGGTGCAGCAACACTAGCCTTATAAGTAGATTTTATTGATCATTTTGATTACAGTGAGAATAGAAAAATCGAAAAATGGGAAATTGTTGCAAGGCTGCTTGCTATTAGATGAAGTCTAATCCACATTTAAGATTTGCTTGGAAGAAAAGCAATTCTCCACAGCCATAACATAAAAAGGCAAATGAGGTAGAGACTTTTCAGAAAATGTTGTGAATGGATACTTCTTGTCATCTGTAACAAATCTGTGAGATCATGGTGCACAACTGTCATCCATCGCCACAAAGAGGGCCTGCGCTATGACTGCACCAGCAGCACACAAAAAAATGCTTTTTTTCTCCCAAGTGGAGCTCTAAGAGTTGTCCACCAGTCTTTTTCGTCTTATTTGGAAACCAAGCCTAGTTGTTTGTTGTCTACTATCAGTTTTTATAGATTTCTGTGTACTAAAGAGTATACTTATCCTGTATTTTATGACAGGACATTCCAGTAAGCATTGGAGGTTTAAATATAAATGATTCAAGGAAAAAGTCCTCCAAATGCTGAATATAACAGGAAGCTGAAACACAGAAGTAGAGTCTAATGTAAAAATCTTTACCTCATATGGAGATAGCAATGGCTTTTTGAAAGCAGTTCCCCAGTCAATAGACAGTCTCGGACAAGCAATCTGGACCCACCTACAGAGAGACATGGAAAATGTTGGAAAATGACTGTCAGTCAAATAATTCTGAATCAAGTGAGCTACATAACGTTTACTTTCTGTTTTAATGAATATGTATTTTGAGTGCTGAAGTTTATATAAATAGCATGGAGAGAGATGCAGGAGTCCATTCTGATCCTTCGTTAGGCTGCAAAAAAAAGGTTAAAGACTGTAAACAAGGAAGTAAACAGAAGTAAAAGCAAAAAAACAAGAGAAAGACGACGTGAGGTGAGGTGTGTGTGAATATCGCAGCATCCGGGCGGTCTCCACGGAGGTAGCCTACATAGAGGCAGACATGAGAGGGCGGGGAGGGGAGGAGAGAGGGGCTTGAAGGAAAGAGCCCTATAGAGGACACAGATATTCAGATAGAGAAGGAGCAATGAGGAGAAAACAAAGGTATGGAGGAGAAAGAGAGATAGGGCAATAGAGTCGGAGGGAACATGTCTGGACTAAGCACCACAGCAGAGATTGGGGGAAAACAAAATGAAGTGGAAAATGGAGGCAGAGGAGTGACTGGTGTCCAGGCGATTTGCTTTGAAACCAGCTCAGTTATCTTAGGCCTGTCCCTAATCCTGCCGATCAGCCCCGTCAGACCGGTCAGAGATATCAACAAACATGATTTCAGCTGATGTGGAGGGCTCACAGATAACCCTAGGGCTGTGTATATATGAAAAGTTATGACTGCTCAAACATAAAGTCATATTAAGCAAGTACAATGAATGGATTTGATATCATGGAATTTTATAACTTGTTAATACAATAAGGAATTAAGAAGTTAAAACTATAATCACTAGAGTTTAATCATTGCTTACGGGTGCTGCTTGGGGACATGATAAACGTGTGGGTAACTGTCCCCAGATTAAATTGGCCACTTCACTAGTATAATTGAGGCAGCGCTGTGGTACATGGTGTGGATCAGGACCATGGGGGTGGCTGAGGGGATTATTGGCTGGGTAAAAGATGAGCAGTGATTAAGGCTCCCTCTCCTTAGGGCTGTAGTGCAGAGTGGGCTGTAAGGGAGGAGGCACAAGGCAGAACAGGGAGAGCAGGGAAGATGCCTCCTGAGAAGCACCAGGTTGATTGGCACATGCAGCCAAAAGGGACTCTTCTATTATTAGCACACACACACACACACAGAATTGGATAAAAAATGTTTCAGTACTCGGTAAGTAAGATAGCCACCTAAATAAACCCCGACAGCCTTTTTATAGATGTGTAGATAAGGCAATATTGAGAATAGGCAAAAGGGTTTTATTCACTTTCTACAGTGGAATGCAAGTTTATGTAATGAAATCTAAGTTTAACAATGACGGAAAAGAGACAATTTAGCATTCTTTATTTAACAGCTAACATGGACAAATTATTATGATTATTAAGTTGTCAGAGTCCTAGTGACAGAACTGGGTAACTGTGTCAAGTTTGTGAGCCCCTTGCCCGTACTTACCTCTTCAGCTCTGCCCACAAATGTTCAATGGGTTTGAGGTCAGGGCTGTGATGGACACACCTACACCTTGTTATCCTTGTTATTTACTAGAGCTTATTGTCCAATTGGTCTGAGCTTCAGCTTCCTCACCGATTTCTTCACGTTTGTTAAAAATATCCTTGTACAGTACCTAGTGTTTTATTCTCAAACATCCATTTAATTGCATTTAGGTATTTGAATGTAACATTACAGGCATCAACCATGAACAATGACCTGCTTTACATTTGCCCTGAAACCTGTAACAGTGAAATACACTGCTTGACATTCAACACAGTTATGCACTGCAAACTCCAGCTCTGGCCTCTGGCCTCATCCTGCTGTGGCCCATTGCACTCTGGTTTATGGGGGCGGCCTTACTGTATCTGCATGGCTTTTCTTCAGTTACACTTGCACTCTTAAATGACAAAACAAGTGTAATTATCTCTAGAATATGAAAGAATGAAAGAATGATGAAAGGAATCTAACCATTTTCTACCAAGCATCAGTCCACGGATAAGTACTATATCCAACAATGGTTTAAAGCCTGCTTAGGGACAGCATAATTACACACTTAAGAGAATATGCTAATAGTGTCTCTTTATGAGTGAGAGGGAGTGTGTCTAATGACAGGAACAGCCTGCGGTGGGCTCCTGGAGATGAACACTAATGCAACCTTCTCTCATCACACGGTTCTTCTCTTATCATTTTGTCCATCGCAGAAAACACTGTTTGAACTATACGGCTATCGAACATTTAGAACAAGCAGTGCACTGCCCTTAGTGCCTGTAAAGCACAGTGTTTTCTGAAATGTAGGACTTCAAAATAAAAGTACTGAAAAGGAATCACTCTAAATGAAAAAGTAAAAAATTGAGGAAATAATTTATGAATGAATTTAATCAATAAAAAAGTGCAGGTTTACTTTAGTGAAAAAAAAGAAAAAAGAGCTTGCATTTTGTGCAGACATAGAAGAGCAGCTCCACTTCAGGCCGGGCTCAGAGGAAGGGAGAGAGTGGGGGAGTGTGCGGAAGCACAGAGGCCTGAGCCTCAGGAGAGAAGCACTGCAGACGACCCACTCTACTGAACCACAGGTCTCCTTTCTGCTTTTCCATATAAGAACCGGGCCACACTCTCGCAAGAAAGAACCGGGCCGCAGAGGAGAGAACAGAGACTTAAACTCCATCACACGGATGAGTCGCTTCTAGCATCTAAAACTATTCTCACTCTCCAGGGTCATTCTCAAATTAGGTCAAAACTGAATTCCAAATATAGTAAGAGTAAATAAAAATATGCTAACTTTTTAAAAGACCAATGTAGCCAGTTCAACATGCAGACATTTGGATATACAGTATTGTAATAATACATTTGGGGGACTATTAAGGGGACATCTGTGGAAAAGCTTGCTTGACACACACATGAAGACAGAACATACAGCTCATGTGTGTCCTGCACCTGTAGAGGAAAGAGTGGTGGAAAGTGAGTTGAGGTGAATCAAACGGTCAAAGGAGTCCTATTCTATGAAAATGCATTCAATGCCTCCATTCTTGAGGTCTGTGTGGTTAGGCGTTCTTTTAGGTGCTGTGAGTATTGAAAAAAGCAGGTGCAACCAGACAGGATGGATTAAAGAAGGATGGAACAATTTTCCTGGCTCCTGACAGGTTACCCTCCTACTGTGACAGGAGCTAACACAGTTGCAAATTCAGCGATGACCCAATTAGGAGTGCATTGACGCATACAAAATATCAACATCTGAAATCTTTGTGATTTGATTGAACTTCAGCAGTGGCCTGATCATAATATGGCGTGACAGGTTTCAGAATTGCGAAGATAAATTAGCTATCATTTATGAAAATGACAATAGGAAAATCAGTGAAAAGTTTCAGGGAGCATGGGTGTGCAACAATGCTAAGAATATACTTAAAACACTCAATAGCGGAACGGCAGAAGGTCACAATTTGCATAAAACGGTAGCTATGAGGAGGAAAAGACTGGATTATGGCATTTCTAATGTGATTAATGCAGGTCAAAAATGTGTGCTGCTTTTACCAAGTGGGATGAGAGGTATTTTGCCAAAAAGCTGTGACTCAAATGTGTCTGAATGAAATCCTTTCAGTAATGCACTAAAGTAGATTTCAGAGCACCTTGGAAGCATACTTTGGGGTACATACAAGCAACTATTGTTTAGACATCCAGCTATTTTACTGTCCAAATATGGTCAAAGATTAGGGTTGAAAGAGTTAGAGTAAAGGCCAATGTATACTGCTCTGTAAAGTACCCTATGTAGCGATGCAGGACCAATGCCTTGATCAGCGAGGGATAATTGAAGTACTGTAGTGTGAAAACGCACAAGAAGATACACTTTATTGATCTCACAATGGAGAAATTTGGTTGGATGAATAGTCATATACACATTATATATGTTACTTATAGGCAAAGTGGGGTAAAGTGTCTTGCTCAAGGACGCACCGATAGTAGACAGCAGTGTGAGTTGGTGGAGAAGGTCTTGCGGTGGGCTAAAACCCACAACCTTCAGGCTCAAAGGCCATTGCTCTACCAACTGAGCCACTGTCTAAGGAGAAGTACTGTATACTGGCACATTCAGAGTTTGAATTAAATGTTATTGTTGTGTGTCCTCAGAGTCCCAGTACTTACGCGTCTACGTCCCCCATCAACTCCAGCTTGCTTGGAAAGATCTCAGACAAGAGGACTCTGGTGAACGACCTTCCCATTGATGTAAGTCTGGTCTCTAGGTGCTGAGATATGAAGAAAACAAGAAAACAAAAGCTTCAACTTGTTTTACATATATTTTTAACAATTTGTGTGACTCCAAAACGGTTACCATCAACACGTTTTGCAGAGGTTACTGCCTACACCGTTACGTGACATCCCTAGTCAGAAATGTTGCACTGTCTAGGGCTGTAGGAGCTATGATCACTGCAGCCGTTTCTGCACGCGCTCAGACCGAATGATAACACCAACAGTGTGAACACACTCAAATGCTATAATGTTCGCTATTACCGCAAACGGTATCATATCACTCAGCCCCTATTCTCAGGTATGCTTAATAACTTGCAAGTACTATCTACTGGGGCAAAATATAGTATAAAAAAAGATATTTTCACAGCTTTTTACCATGTCATTTTTAGTGATCTATGTAGATTTGAGTCATTTATATAGTTTTACAATCACAACGTTATTGTAATTTTCTCCTCTGTGAGATAAATAAAGCAATCTTATCTTATCTTATTACTCCACCCCGGTTCAGTTGCAACAAGCCAACAATTCTTACTTTGTTGGCTGATTTTTTTTTCTGAATCTGTTATGTGAAATTATGATTCCCAAGTGTTGTACAGTCATTTTTGGTGGAAGGAAAAAGAAAACGTCGGATCACCAACTTCATCCATGAGCAAAGCCTCAGATCCCTGATTCCATTGATGTGACCAAACTTCTGCTGAGGCTGCTCAAAAAGGCAGAACATAGATCCATCTGGTGGTACTAAATACAGAAATGTGTTGGATCTCTGGGATATTGAAATGTCACATGAACTAATTCAATATAGTAATATAGTTCACTTGAAGGAACAGAGCACAAGCAGATTCATTCATCTTAATGCTGGTATCATGCGGTTTATACCCAGGGTTAACTAGTCAGACAGATCAGATTACACAAAAGAGCATAGTTAATTGCTTAAGACATTGGTTCTCAAACTTTTCACACCAAGTACCCCCTCAGAAAATACTTGCCTCTCCAAGTACCACCACAAATGACCAACACCACACAGTAGCGTAGTAAGCCGAAGTATTCATCAATAACAAGGCAGAGGTTTCATTCCTAAAGAAGTATATTTAATGTAATATTTTACACAGTTTCAACAGTAAGACTGCGCTTAAATATAGGGAAAAAAAATGTTTTAAATGTTTCATTCATTGCGAACTGCAAAGCCTCACTGTGAGTGATATTCTGGAGTGGGATCTTTGTCCACAGAAGGTTTGGACTCTGGTGCACTTTACAGTAGTTTCTAAGGCTTGCTCTGCTGCCCTCTTACATCTGCCGTTTACTCACAGAGACATGTTCATATGGTTTGGATCAAATGATCGTTTGTTGCTCTCTGTTCCTTTTGCACAGAACTGGGAAAAAAACCTGCTCCTTCTACATGGAACGTGTTGCAAAAAGACTAGAAATGATCTGATCTTATTTCCTTGAATGCTTTTAGATCCAGATTGAGACATCTTCAGTGAAATGTAACTGTTTTTATAATCCGTAATTTTATGAAATTGTGTGTTACTGTTGTATAATCTGTATGTGACTGTTTTATCATCTGTATGTGACTGTTTTATCATCTGTAATTTTATGTAATTTTTGTACACGAAAAAGAGGTTCTCATTGACTACCAGCCATTTTTTGATGACTTCACTGATTTTTAAGACTCACAGAATATTGTGTGCTATGAAAAATATGAAACCAGAGTCTGAAAGACAGGACTGTCTACTTTCAGCAGCAAAAAGAAGTTTGTTCTTAGTTTGTTTCGTTCTCCTGTGATCTCCAGTCGAAAAGAGGAGAGTGTGACAAAAAGCACCAGTCTTAGACAAAAAAAATTAGAAAATGAGGTTTTTGTGAAAACAGACGAACTGCAGAAAAGTGATTGTAAAACTATTTAGTTTAACTTTAGCATCTCCTCAAACATGTCCAGGATCTTACATGTTAGAAAACAGCAACACGTTTTGAGAAAGTGTTTTTAATGAAAAATAATAAGTTTTATGGCACACACACAAACTATGCCAGATAGAATGGCCAGTATTCATCCATTAGGTGGCACTATATTTATGTCAATAAGAGTAAATCAAAGAATAACAAAATTACAATGATAAACACTATACATGACAATAAATCAAAGTGAATACTTATACTTATAGTATAAGTGCAACAGAATACTGCTGTGTGTCTTTGTGTATTTGGGCGTGCATGTATGTGCGTTTATGCACGCGTTTGTGTGTTTTTGTGTGGTTACATCTACAGAGCGTCTGTTTAGTCCGGCGTGCGCTGTGACCATATCTGGACTTTGCTGCTGGCTCCTGGTGTGGACTCAGTGATAATTTTAGCAATAGTCCACTTTTCTGTGGCTTTTTTGAGGTGCTCCACTGGTCTGCTGCTAGGACCCTCCACATGGTCTCTGTCAGCTCTGGAGACACATTTACTGCTCAAACTGCCTCCAAATGTAGCCTGACCCTAACTATATTACTCCATGTCTGCTTCACCTCTGTCTCTCCTGCTCAGAGTGCTCAGAGTGATCTTTGACCAAACCAGGGAGTTCTGCTGCCACCTGCTGGCTTAATAAAATACTGTCTACAGCCAAACCCCAGACTGTATGATACAGGGGACACAGACTGACAGGAAAAGATTGAAAAACAATGTTGTCCTCAAATGACATCCATGGCTGTCAATGAGTTAATCTCAATGGGACTTTCCTGGTAAAATAAAAAAAAAAAAAAAAAAAAAAAAAATTTTTTTTTTTTTTACAGATTTTTTTTTTTTTCCATAGATTCTTTGGCGTACCCCTAGAGGGCGCCCGCGTACCACTAGGGGTACGCGTACCCCAGTTTGAGAAACCCTGGCTTAAGAGACTATGACAAAATAGATAATCTGAAATAAAAAGTGACATTACTGATATTCTCTCGAATATGAGATAACAAGGTGCCAGTTTGAAAGTGTTACAAACACTTGCACAAAAGGCTGCAGGGCATGTCTGGTGTTAAAATGAGACACACCAAACTCACCTCCAGGACTTTAGGGCTGCCCTGTCGTCCCAGTGAGCCCATGATCAGGCCCCATCTTTGGGCTGAGCGAGCTTTGTGAATAGCCTGGAGCCTCAACTCTCGCATGGCATTATGGTCATAGTACTCCCTGGAGAAGACCTTACTGTAGGGATCGTACCTATAAGGAGAGACACAGATAAGACATAATGCCAATGTTAAATGCGAGCACATTTATTTATTATCAAAAGTTGGGGCAAATTAATAAAATCTAATCAGGACAACCGATCAAGTGTGACACTAGTGCATCTCTGGGAAAGGCATAATCTCTTTTTCAGATGCACAAAGGCTCCACTTGAGATTAAAATCTTGTTTATGGGATATACCTGTGATTTGTTCAGCACTGCATCTTTTACACAATGCTATCTCACAGAATACAAATAGGTACTTGGAAAATGCTATGCCTCTAAAATCAGAGATTGAACAGAAATGCATTTAGTCCAGTGTATTTTTACAAATCAGATTGAAGTTATTTTAAATGATGTGATGACGTTCTTGGTGATGGAAGGTTATCTCCATGTCATTAATTGAGGCCAGGGACTTTGTTTAAAACATCTTACAACAAAATACATGTTTAGTTGTGTTTATTGTTTCAGACAAACTGGGACAATGTACAATAAATCTTAAACTGAAAGGGAGGTTGGTTATAAGTTATAAGTGCGATTTTCTACCAACAGACCCTGGGCAGGCTGATTTATTTTGAAGAGTAAATCCATTGATAGATTTTCTAACATGTATAAGTCTAACTAAAAATTAAAATGTAAATACCTGTAAGCTGGAGTCTCAGGGTTGGCAATCATAATCGACTCGAGGTGAAATCTTCCATCTCCGAGATAACTGTAAAAATATGCATACATAAATCCAGGTCATCGAACATAACAAAAGACATTTGAGTCAAACCCAGCAGCGTGTCGGCCTTTTCACCAAGGCTCTAAATGAGAAAGAAGGGCCTGAGGCTGCAGGGAGGGTACATGACCCTTTTGATAGAACTTTGCAGTTTACATACAATGCAAGCCTTTCCAATTAACCCTCGTCCAGGTCCCGGCAGAGATCAGAGCCATGAGCCATTTAGGTGTGCACAAACACATGGTCCAGTAGAACAGCCCTCCTGCTGCAGCCAGTTTGAGAAGATCCCTGCTGTTCGGCTCAGATCTATGCCCAGTGGCTCTCCTCATTGCAGCAACCGCACAGGGCGCATAGACACTGGCTATGCAATTAAAACCACTAATTAGCAAGCATTTAGTACAACCCAGGAACTAGCTGCAGGTAGAGGAGAAATGTATATAATAATTATGGAGACATGTCCATCGTCTATATAGGTACATGTATACAGTAGGTCTTAAGAACGACCTTAAGAATAACCTTCAGTATGACCACAGTTACATAGAAACAGATGCAGAATGCTGCAAAACCCAAACTGAACCTATCCCCGTCTTTAGTTGTTGAGCTCCAGAAAGAAGATAAACCTGCTGCTTTGATCTTTCTTAATGTGTTGATGTTATTTTGAGGTTTCAACAAACTTTACATATTTGCATTCCGCATTGCAATGTTATTGGAGGAAGACAAAAATTACCTAGATTGGAAATGTTCTCTCTAAGCTCTCGATGCCAGGGAAAAATAGTGTAGTAATGAGCCTCATAAGAGTTTCAAACTAACAATACAGTTGTACAACATGTACAGAATAGGATCTACGTCTGTGCTTGAGCCCTAATGAAACACGTATTGGAGAGAACTATATAAAATGTCATATACACAAACATTGCCATCATGATAATATACTAATTAATTTGGCAGTTGTGATGAGTGTGGTTTTTTATGCCTCTGCCGTTTTTACCAGAATAATACATTTACATGGCAATTTTAAATGTACAAAATAATTATTCTCTTATTAAATAGAACGATTCATATAAGAAAATAATACATTACATTTCAGACATTGATCTATTATTCTTCATTTCACTGTTTACAGCTTTACACATTTCATAGTATTGCAGTGTATTGACAATTTTAGACATTCAGGACAATCTTTTGGCTATTTCCATGAGGGTGGAAAGACCTTAATGAAGGCCTGATTAGCTGTCACACTCGCTCGCTCTGGTGTCTAGAGCAGTGTCTCCCAAAGTGGGGTCCGCGGCCCCCTGGTGGGCCGCGAGGGTACTGCAGGGGGGCCGCGGGAGGTCATAAAAAAAATAAAAAAAAATAGTATAATTATTTAATGTTAAATTTATAATGTTTTGTTTGTAATATTAAAATATTTGTGTTCATTATTTGACTTGAATAAGCCACTGTAATCATTTTTGTATTACAATGTTTGTAGCAGAGGCTATTTCCCCAAAATAAAATAACCAGAAGAGCCTTTTCTTAATGTTGTCTTCTTGGTTATTATTTTGGGGGGCCACGCAGACCCGTCAGATTTTTAAGGGGGCCTCGGTGTTACTGAGTTTGGGAATGGCTGGTCTAGAGAATGATGTCATGCTGTACTGGGCTCATGCCACATAAGTGACAATCGCTGGGCTAATTATGAAACCAGGTGGGAAGCGACAGGATGAGTCAATAGCACATTTTGGTTTCAACATTTTCTGATTAATAGCATACAGTAACACAGTTCTAACATTATGGCGGCAACGTTGCGGTCCAATCGAGGGGACGTGCAGCCCAGGATTTCGCCTGGAGACAAAGGTCGACACTGGGGAACGAGCACATCGTAGTCGGGCCGGAGAGCTGCACTCACCGCCTGCAACACAGACAAAGAGAAACTATGAGGAATTCCTTCTTGATCACATCAACCTTGAGCCGTTACATGGGCTCGCACAATGTGAAGAAACCAAATCTTCCAAAGCACAATCTTAACTTGCTTTAAAAGCATTTAAACCAGTCTTTTTAATACATTAATCTGACACATATTGTTCATTAAAAAATGTCTGTTCATATGCATTATTCCTTTTAAATAAAACAATAAAACAAGTGAGCATACCATTAGCTACGTAGGTGGAAATAAATTACATTGAAGTCATTTTAAATGCCTGAGTGGGTGATAATAGAAATCGATCATCCACTTCCACCCACACTTTGACCTCAAGAAGCCTACACAATAAAATCATGAGAAATATGGATGTTTGGATCAAGCACAAAGCCAGAGTGCTATGCACCAATATACACACAGCAGCACTTCAACAGGCCTGCATAAGATATGACCCACACGGTTCAGCAGAGTTTAAAAATAACATGACTGTCAGTGCAGGAACAGAGTGGTGTTGGTTCAACATAGAAAATGCGGCAAAACATACAGAACACTAAAGCAAGATCCTGTATAGATCTTCTGCTGCTTATGAAATCAACAAAAGCAGGAAACACGCTCCAGCTGCAATCAGGTTTTACTTCAATGCATTTAAAACTAAAATGCATTCATAAATTACAGGATCACCATACGGTTAAATGAAGAGCGTCCATTTTTAGTATTGCTATCAGAGTCATTACCCCGGCAACAGGAGGGTATTGTGAACATCCTTGCTTGTAGGTGTTTGTTTGTAGCCAGGATTGAGCAAACACTGCTGGGCGGATTGAGCAGATATTTGGTTTGTAGATGGGATATATGAACAATATGAAAAAACCTCAAGAAAAGTAAGTAAGTAAGTAAGTAAGTAATCTTTATTTATATACCGCCTTTCACAGACCAGAGTCACAAAGCGGTTTACAATTGTTATTTTTAGGGCACTTGTCCTCTCACTCCACACAGAGATGGGAGCGGGGTCGCCGAACAGGAGGCGCATGCCAGACCTATTGTACATATTTTTAGTGGTAGGGGAAACCGGAGCACCCGGAGGAAACCTACGCAGACACGGGGAAAACATGCAAACTCCACTCAGAAAGGCCCTGGTCCGACCGGGATTCGAACCCAGGACCTTCTTGCTGAGAGGCGAGAGTGCTATCCACTCAGCCACCGTGCCGCCAAAGCTTAGTAAATATGAGACTGGAGAATAATCAAGAAGGGAAAACTAAAATAGCCTACATCTATAAAAATGTGTTAGCCTGGTTAGATTACTAAAGTAGACTAAATGACTGTAACACGCAGACATGATGCTTTATGAAATCATGTTTTTAAGTTAACCGCAAACCCAGTCAATTTGAGTGGCAAACAGCTTTGTGCAAACAAGTGCTTTGATTATTTCTGTGCGGACAGTGCACTTCAGTCTGACATGTTTTTTGTCTTCAGTCTCAAAAGGAAACCATTCATTTCTAAAATGTTGGTACGCACTTATTTTATTTATCTATTTATTTGAATGGAACAATGTGTAAGAATGAAAACCTGTGCTGTAAATACAGATTGGAATAACAAATATACCGGTAAGCTGGATTCTCGTTTACATCTGTTGTCGCACAGTCATTAAAAGTAACAAAATCCAGTCCACAATGCTGCTAGAGTATAGTGTTCCTTTACCTGCAAAGCTGCCACAAACTGGATGGTGCTGACGAGGGCCAGCGACTGTCCAGGGGTGAAGTTGAATTTGACCGTGTCCATGAAGTGTGCATTGTCCATCTGGATGTCCACAAACACATAGAGCATCTTAATTCCTACTGTGGCGTCTATAGGGACTGCAGAGAGACAGAGACAAAAGCAAAGACAAATGAATTATTCACTATGTTATGTCAGGTATGCCTGCAATCTATTCACTATTGATGGGAAGCCTTGCCATTAAAACACAATACACGTTCACGGATATGACTTTAAAAATGTACACATTTCCTACATGCATTTTTCTCAGAAGTTTGATTCATTGCATTATAGCTAAAACTCATTCTGCTGAGGCCCCTGCACATGGGGGAAGTGATGCAGAGACCTCAATTATTTAGGGAAGGAGAAGGACACACGCGATTACTATTAATGCTATTAATTTCACAGACCATTTACTACGCACCAAGCCTGGGGAGAGGTAGCAAGCGCAGAGTTTCGTTGGGTTAAATTTGTGTAGAAAGTAGAGAAGAGTCCATTTAGAGCAAGCCAAGGCACAGAAATAATTTGTTAGTTAGGATCATTATCTCAATTATATTTTTTCTGTTGGTTGATGAATTGGATATTGAGAAAAGGGAAGCTTTTTGTTATGATTAGGCAAATGGGTCATTACTGAATGAATATTTCAAAAGCAGATGCAGATTGCAGAATGTCGTAGATTAAAACAAAGCGCAGAGAAAAGACAAGCGCAAAACCAGATAAGGAAAAAAAATAAATGTATTCAGAAACAATAACACATATACAGAATAGGGCTGTCAAAAGATTAATTATTTTAATCGAGTTAATTACAGCTTAAAAATTAATTAATCGTAATTAATCGCATTTCAAACTATCAGCCAAATGATGCCTTATTTTTTCTGTAAATGGTGGTTTGAATGGAATAAATGACAAAATAGTGTACATATTTATTGTTTTTGTTCATTAAAACAACAATGAATCCACATGAAATGGCATTAACATTATTAACATTCTGTCTTTCTGTAGTCTGGCCTTAGCCATCCGTACACTCCGCTCAATCATCATTTCACTGCATGTAACAAGCCCCGGCGATCCAAGATGGCGCCCTATTCAAATGAATGGTTGTGCTCAGTGGCGCTTTGTGACGGCATGGGGGCTGAAAGATTAGCGGAAGTCGCCTGGAACTCGCAAAGATCTATGGGAAACTCGCCTGTATTTGGGCATCGTCTGGTCCTCCCGGTTCTGCGCAGTGGATGATCTCCCATAATGCGTTGCGCCAAACACGTGTGTGTGGGTCTCACACCGGGTCTCACGCACGTGCACAGAGGGGCTCGGCCGCGCTCTGACCAATCAGAGCAGTTCATCAGAGCGGGAGTTAGAGCGAGAGCCAGAGGAGCAGAGTTTGTGGCAGTAAAGTGTGGATTTAAACAAAACCGAAGGATTTAAGAAGAAAAAAAGTTCAGGATGACAAGGGACACTAAAATCCCCACAAAATCCGACCTTTATGAAAGCTGTAGGTTCTCTGTCAGCTGAGGTCGAGCTGTTTTAATATGCATTGAGTTCTATGGGGAACATTTCTGGGTAGCCCACGTGAATTTAGTCTGGTTCAGTCTGCAGTACCGCGAGAATCCCCCGAGCACATGAGTTATTCAGCTACAAGCTAGTAATACCCTATCCAGTTAATATAATAGATCCATGGTCTGGTCCCTGTGCTTGCGATTACAATGGGTGTAATTTCGACCAACCTACCAGCGAGCGCGGAAGGCAGGTGTTGTGGGTGACGTCAAGAGTGTGCGTCGAACTGGAAGGTCCTTAGTTTGGCAATGGCGAAAAATGTGATCCGTAAAGTAATCCGGTCTGGTTCTATCAAGAAATTGAAGCCGGAGCAAGAGGAATGTTTAGCAAATGTAATCACCAGAAAAAATTGTGGCGCTACTCCCCACGGGCTCCGTTAGCGGCAAAGGAGATGGCTAGGCTAAATGCTAACGACTCACTCTGGCACACTACATACGTCACGGTAAACTCAGATCCAATCGTTTCAATCTGCAAAAGGAGTTAACCCCTCCCACCTGTAAACGGAGCTCAATGGAACACCTCCAGACCTTAGTATGAAATGTAATTTGTACTATGGTGTGGTACAACCAGGCTAGTCTTTCTGTAGTAGACAAGCAAAAAGAGGGCCTGTTGTTCAGTAACAGAATACTGTCTTCAGTCCATCGAAACCCACTCAGCAAGGACGGATACCCAATTTATTTTCTAATGAGTTCTTAAAATTATTATTGTATCATTACATACAAGTTGTATTAAAACCCATATAAAGCCATATAAAGTGCTGAGTAGAAACTTTGCGTGGCGCTAGTTCTCCTCGACTGACAGAACGAGGAGCGGTGCAGTTACAAACAGGCTGCCTCCTCTAGCGTCTACAGCGCACGTAAACAAGAGCAGCATGTTAGCAGAAAGTGGCTATACTTCCTCTGGCTGTAACTGCAGACACAGCAAAATAGCCCAAAAGACGCAACAGTGAGGAAGAGAAGAGAAAACTAAAGCAAAAAAATTATCCAAGAAGAAATCAAGCTCGGGTGAACATGGCTAGCTTACATCATATTCTCTGGAGAGACCTGCGGGAGCGGGACCGCCTTGGACTACATTTAACAGCTGTAATCTTTCAGTTGAATATTTTGTTAGCAGTGCGTTGCTTTTGTACCATTTTGTCAGTGATTGCTGTACAGCTTATTAGAAGTTGTGCTAATGCTAGCTAATGCCAATAAGATCGCTACTAAAACTACATGGCACGTGGGAGGAGAGTATAGAGGAGAGTAGGAGGGTTTCTTAAAATGAGAACCCTGCGAGTGGCACTTCTGAGTATTATTATGGGATGCATGGGCGGGTCAATCGGCATATGCGTCAATGAATTCTTGTAACGCGATTAAGGAAAAAATTAATTAACGCACGTTAACGCGATAACTTGTAAACCTAAAGTCCTAATACAGAATATTGGAGAATTTAATTGAACATTTTAATGTGAGGACAGAGGCTCAGTTGGCAGAGCTTTGAGGGTGAAGATTGTGGGTTCAATCCTTGGGCAAGACACTTAACCCTTCTTGGCCTGAAGCCCCCGCTAAAAGATCAAGGCTGTATCATCACTGCCAGAGCGGTCATCCTCCTGTGGACTCACCACCTGCCAGGGATCAGTGAGTGCCCGGTACTCTGTCAAATGGGTGGCAGCTGATTAACACCTCCCCCCAGAAAAGAACTAAGGGGAAGAAGAGGGGTAGATTTCAATGTATTCTGTTGCAGTTCATTTGGAGCTTGTTAGTCTGACCAGACAACAAACTATTGATAGAGTAAAGAAAAAAAAAAAGTCCACATGCTTGGTTACTGAAGGACAATGAGTTTTGTGTTGCCATCTGCACCTCTAAAATCTAGCCTTGTGAATGTTCTTCCTCACCTATTGATGATTTCATTAACTCTTGTGTCCAGTTTGGGTTGGTGAACATTGGTCACACAATCTTTGTTCTTAGAGGTTATTTCACTCCTACTTTGTGGTCCATACAGAAATGTATGTTTGGTCTCTCTGGTTCTTGGCCCTCTGTAGCCACCTGTTGCCGAAAGTCACTTCCTTTGGATCAGACCTGACACAAAACCTTTGCCCTACCATTTGTCTTAGTATGTGTGTATTCCTTTGCTCATCATCTTTGCCAACTGTTCATGGTGTCATTAAGAGGTCCACCTTTAGAACTATTTTGTTTATGGTTAATCTATCAAAATACAACAAGATTCTCATTCTAACACAGCTTATGGTCGACTAAATAATGTACTCAAAAGAACGGACAGGAAGACGGGAGTGGAACAGGTAACAGGATACCATGAGCAGGGGGATAGAGCTATGTGAACTGTCAATTATCAGGCTCCATAAATGCAGAGTAGGTCCATGCGTCACTGAAATGCAATGGAAAAAGAGGGGGCAGAAAGAGGTGGGCCTTACGGGAGGAACTTTACAATGATAGATAGATAGATAGATATATACTTTATTGATCCCGAAGGAAATTGTGCACTCATCCCTTGCTCGCAATCATACAGCAATACATACACAGGTAAGAATTATAAGATGCAAAAGTTAAAAACGAGACAATAAATACATTAAAAACAATAAAAAACATTAAAAGAGAAGTTAAGGCACTGCAAAACAATTCTCAAGACACCCCCCCCCCCTCCCTCCCCCCCCTGCTCCTCCCTGAAGTGGCTTTGTTTATAGAGCCTGATGGCGTTGGGGACAAAAGAGTTTTTTAATCTGTCCCTGGAGCACCTCAGAGAGAGGAGTCTGGAGCTCATGGTGCTTCTCTGGCGGGAAAAAAATGAATTCAGTGGGTGGCTCTGGTTGGACACCCTGATCTTGGAGAGCGTTTTTTGCTCTACCACCTCCTCCACTGAATCCAGGCCCAGACCCACCACAGAGCCCGCCTTTCTAATGAGCCGGTTCAGCCTCTCAGTGTCCCTCTTTCGTGCACTGCCCCCCCAACAGACAACTGCATAGAAAAGGACACTAGACACAACAGACTGATAAAACATGTAGAGAAGCTTATCACAGACCCTGAAAGATGCCAATCGCCTCAAAAAGTACATCCTACTCTGCCCCTTCTTGTACACAGCGTCCATGTTGGCTGCCCAGCTCAGCTTGTTGTCCAGCTGCAGCCCCAGGTACTTATAGGGTGGAAACCACTTCCACCGCAGTTCCCTCGATAATAATGGGCTGCAGAGAGGGTGGTGCCCGGCGAAAGTCCAGCACCACCTCCTTAGTTTTGGCTGAGTTTAAAAGAAGCTTGTTTACAATGATAGAACGGAGTACAGAGGTGGACTTAATCCTGGCAATAAGCAAGCATCTCACAAGGTGAGATGCTTGCTTATTGGCTCTTCAGACAATCCAAGAAGAGTGGCATTGATCGGCATTAGTGGTCAAAGAGCACTTAGAAAGGCACAATTAGAGGAGCAGGTGAATCAAAAAATCATGAGCTGCGAATATTAGATATATAGCAAAAAAAAAAATACAGTATCAGATGAATCATAAAAATAACCAATAGATTAATCAGTAAGAAAATGATCTTCAGCCGGAGCTCCATGAGACGCTCGAGTAAATGCCTTTTTATTTAACCAGAGATATGATAAGATGTTTATTTCTCATTAGCATGCACTTGCCCCTACAAGCTGATTATTATGACAAAATAAATGTCACATACATATTGCAGATAACCATTTCTGGGTTAACAGGGGAATGGTTCTACAGTCAAATTGAAACAAAGCCAAATGTTATTGTGCACACAGTGTTCTTCAGGTGCTCTGTCATGACAAAAGATGAAAAACCGGCAATATTCAGCCGTAGATATGTGCCAGAGGAAATGAAAAAGAATAAAAAAGCAGCCCTATTGAGTGAATCAGTCGTTTATCTGCCACAGGTGTCTGATCAAGACAGATACACAGGGAACACAAACATGCTGCAATGGGAAGACTGAGTCCTTTTTGTTTCACCTCAGGACAAAACAAATATCCCCAGGAATTTAGAAGTGAAACTGATATTGAATCAACATTTGACAAATAAAAAAATATCAATATTAAACAAAATATCTAATTGTCAATGTCTTAATCTGAATCATAATTTGAAGAGCAGCAATATGGTCTGTATTCTATTGCACAAAATATATGTCCATATTTTTTTGTGTAGTTCACCATTCGCTTTCTCTCAAACCTCATAAGGTGGAATTAACTGATATAATTATTCTATAATTATTCTATAATTATTATAAATTCATATAAATCTCTTTAAATCTGTATAGAGTATTGAGCCTTAACCCATGCCTTCATATTTGAATTTGAGCAATGAAAGCATGATTTTTTGTCAACATTGCTTTGGCAGTCAGAGTGACCCAAAATCAAACTAAAATAGTACCAAGTACTGAAAAAACCTCCCACTGTTCAAAATTGGCTATTGCCAGGACAAATATACCCAAGTAGAAAGAATTACTATTGAGTAAAGTTTTATGAAGTAGAGAAAACATTAAAATTCAGTTGGTTATTTCTGGTATTTTGAAAAAGAGAACCCATTGTTGCAAGGAGGTATCAAAAGTATTGATTTAGCATTTCCTCTATGTTCAGACAGTGGGAGAGGGGGGTGAAGACCCTAAAGAACTTGAGGTTTTCAAAGGACGACTCTAATACATATTGATCCAAAGGAGAAATGTGAAGTCCCAGCTCCAAAGGTCTGCTGCACTTTTGCATTGTGGAGGTAGGCAGCAATGTGTCTAAGCAGACTTCAACACTGATACCTGCACTCACTGATGTTTGGTTTGGAAGGCAAACTGGTTAAGTGCAAACATGTTCAATATGACACTCACTCAGGCAGCTGTGGCCATAGTGCACCATGAAGTCAGCTCCCAAGGCTCGAGCTGTGAAGTCATCTACGCAACAGGCACCGTACGTCACGTCCCCCATTACAATGGTGTCTGCCTCTGTGAACCTGCAGACAGGAAAACTCATCAGTAAAAAGTCAAACAGCAGAAGCCAGCTGCTGCCTCATGTATCTGATTGTCCTGGAGAAACAAAGAAAGTAGACATTGCAGCCAGTACAAATAATATGATAAATTATGACCTAAATATCTAAATACTTTGATTATTGACTACTTTTTGAGATGGCTTACACCAATTGTTGTGAGCTTTGTTGCTAGTCTATAGTGAATTCCATATCCAAAGTTATTTTCATGACTAAAACATAAGCTCTGTGATGTCTTCGCTGCTGTCGGACATGTTAGTCTCCCACGCGGGGCATGGACACATCAGAACCACCAACTTCCAACTAAAAAGGGCCGTTTTTGTCATATGAACTTGTCTTGATAACCAACAGGACAGAGGGGGATATGAGGAAATCTGACATAAAACCTTTTCATACTTCTTTTACATCTGGTGTCAAGTTCAGATGAAACGGTTGGTGATCTGCATTTTTCAAGGAACACATTGTCCTTGTCATTTAGTCATCTGTAACATACTGTCCCTAACATCCGTAACATTGTCCCAGTCAAAGTCCAGATAGATTTGGAATGTGTGATCTCAATGAAGACTATAAAAGCAAAATGTTATATATGTCTGTACTATATGAGAATATATTTTAATTAAATGTTTTATCTATAAACTTAAACAATAGATGAATACTGAATTACATTTACATCCTACAGGGTCCGCCTACAGGAGGGAGGTGGACCGGCTGGTGTCCTGGTCAGTGGTAACAACCTGAGCTGAACGCCCAGAAGACAGTGGAGATGATTATGAACTTCAGAAAGAGCACAGTCCCTCTGCCTCCGACCATCAGCTCCCTAAATAAGAAGGCCCAGCAGAGGATGTACTTCCTGCGGCAGCTCAGGAAAGCCAAGCTGCCTGCACAGATGTTGGTGCAGTTCTACACGGCCATCATCGAGTCCATCCTCACCTCCTCCGTCACCGTGTGGTTCGCTGAAGCCACAGTCAGGGACAAACAGAGACTACAGCGCATCTGCAGAGAAGGTGATTGGCCGCAGCCTCCCATCGCTGCAGGACCTGTACGTCGCCCGAGCTCGAGGCCGGGCTGGTCGTATCACAGCCGACCCCTCTCACCTTGCACATGGACTATTCCAACCGCTCCCCTCAGGCAGGAGGCTGCGGTCCATCAGGACCAGAACCTCCCGCCATAAGAACAGTATCATCCCCTCTGCTGTTGGACTCTTGAACACTTCTTAACCTACCCACCCTCTAGAAGTCCCCTTACTGTCCTTTATAATGTCACTTTACTGCCCATCATAACGTAACTTTACTTTACTGCTGTCACCTTATATTGTGTGCACCATGTGCACTTGTATATTGTATACAGTAATTGTAATCATTCTATCATAAATTTTATTACTTAGAAGTTTTTTTATTTTCTATTGTGCCTTCTCTACTTTTTACCTCTCTTTCTGACTGAAACAATTTCCAAGTCTGTGACTTCCTGTTACTTACATGGCAATAAAAATGATTCTGATCCTTAAAGCGGTATTATCCAGTAAAAATATTACATTTCAAAACACTTTAGATTGAAATTGTGGTAAAAAGGTCACTTTAAATTAAATAACAAAATATAATTATAATGTATAATATAATGGTCCGTGTATTTTTCGTTCAATTGTTTTTTCAAATTAAAATAGAAAATGAAATAACAAAAAATGGCTTGAATTTTCATTTTTCATTTTGATGAGGAAAAGGAAAAACGAAAAATTGGCTTGATATTTGATTTTTCGTTTCAATGCAAAAAATTAAAAAACGAAATATTGAATAATGCTATCATGCCGATTTGATTTCATTTTTCGTTTTGGGGCAACCGGAAGTGTGCGCCAAAGCCCGTGCACCCCATTATTTTCGTCCGGCTGGAAACAGCCGAAAGCAGGCTGGCCTCAAGTGAGTTCAGTCTGGACCTGAAAATGTGAGGAAATAGCCGGAGGCTGCTTTCACCACAATTGCCTCTATATGCCAGTAAACTTGTCTTTATATGCCTGAAATGTGTGTCTTCGGGTCGAACACGTGAGGTCATGCACGTTCACGTTAGCTGTAGCAGCGCTGGCTGTATTTGTCACTACTGAAGCTGCAGAGGTGGCTCTGGAAAGATGAATACTGTGGAGAATAACAAGAGACCGGCTTCAGGCAGCGCTGAAACTCCAGCCCAAACTAAAGTAAAGTGCTTGAAAGGTAAGGCGGTTGTTTCTAAATACGTGTGGGCAAAAGTAGTGTTAGTTGTTTCAACGCAGCGGTCCGTGTATCAAAAGGCTACGTAGCAAAATGCCATTTCTTTTGCCAGTAACTGAGTTTTGCTGCGTTTTAATTGTGGAAAACGCACAGAATGAGGCATGGATGTCTCCTTTTCCAAAATACCAGCCGTAATAAACCCCAGCTAGATCTCTGCGTTAGAAGGAAATAACACAACAGCTAGCATTAGCTGGATATGCTACATGAACTGATGCGCAGCGTTTTGTTTACAAACGGGGCTATTTTAGAAACAACTGCAGTACCTACAGCTTTAGCAAAGGTCTCGTTGTTTAGTTGAGAAGGAGAGGCTTACAAACATGTCCAGTATTCAGGCAATAATGTCTAAATTACATTATTATTATTGCATTATTCTCAATGTATTTCAATGTGTACAAACTTTGCACGTGTTAACCAAAGCAAGTACTAAAATGGTATGTGTGAAGTTACATTCTTTTTAACACTGTTTTGTGTCCATATAGTTTGGAACAGCCAAAACTGAAACATGGGATGCACGGAGGAGATGATCGACAGATTAGTTGCCCTTGGTAAGCAAGCATATTCACTGCAGTGTATCCTTACAGGCCTTTCTGTTACAGCTGACGGACTCTCCAGGTAATGCACTAAGCTCTTGGACATCTGATTATTATAGATTTGCTGGAATGTTTGTTTTTCATTATTTTCCCATTATCTAACTTTTTTTTCCAAAAAGATCCCTCCACTATGTGCTGTACATACACAACAATGGAGCTAAACACCATGGACATCATCAGTGTTGTCAATGTGGACCAAGAATGGGTTGACAGTAAAAGTGGTGCCATGGAGAAGGCAGCTTTTTATCGAAACCTTTGATAAACTCACAAAGGAGGTGCACATCGCAAAGATTGTAACTGATGCTCAAGTATCGCTGCCCTTATGCCTAAGGAATATGAAAGGTAAAGGTGCACTTGGTTGATCCCCGCAGGGCAATTCAATCCTCTGCATTTGACATAACATGCTTTATGAGTTTTTAATTTGAATTGCAACTTGTTACAAGATGATTTTGTTGTGTTCTGAACAGATCGAGAAAAGGGCAGATTATATTATATTATATTATATTGTTCTGTTAAGACTTTTTTTTAAATAACTTTGGTGTCTTCCAACAGGCTGGAATGGTTTCTGGTCAAAAGCCTATACTTGTATGGATCAAGGACATTAACCATTTCTGTTATGCTTGTCAGAACACAAGCCCCAGAGAGGAGTTTATGGTCTGTATTAACATTACACATTTATAAAGTCACCTGATATTGTCACTTTTTCTCTTTGTGTGGTGAAATGGTATAACTTTTTTCACACATGCTGTAATTTCTTGTCGTCTTGTACACTCCTCACTGCAGTAGACAATAACACCATAACCATCGCCCAGTGCATGTGAACAGGAAAGGCCCAGTATTGTAAGTCATACTTTATTGCTTGATGCTAAAGAAATATATTATTTGTACTGATGTCTAAACTAATGATTTGTAGACATGAACGAGACTACAACAAAAAGTCTCAGCGTTACAGTGTGCACTGTGAAGGAGACTGAAGACTACAGCTCTATCCCAGACCAGCGCCTCAGCCCTGGGTCCTGTCCTCATCATCCCTCCTCCTGCAGCTGAACTGGAGCAGTCACAACAGAGGACAGGTAGTGATGATAATCAAATGTGAAAAAAGTCTCAATGATATAAAATATATTTTTCTTTCTTTTTCTAGAACTTGATATCTGGTCCCTGAACAGAGGACAGCAATCAAAGATGGACACAGCACATTTATTTATATTATGTCAGATTTTTTACACATTTTTCCCAAACATTGAAATAAATGTAAGACTTGTTTCTAAAGTGGTGATGAGTTGCATTTTTGTTTTAATTCCCCACTGTGGGACTAATAAAGCGGGCTTCTTTATAACCAGCAGGTCGTGCTCTTCTTATTCTAGACTCTCCTGGCTGCTCCTCTTCCTCCTCTGGCTGCTCCTCTTCCTCCTCCGGCTGCTCCTCTTCCTCCTCCTCCTCTCCCCCTTTCAGAGTCACTGCTCTCAGGAACTCAGATTTAACTGGACTGGAGTCCTGGAAGGAAAAGCATAAAGATTTACATGTCACCATTCTGGAATGTATGTTTTGTACAAACTTCATTCATGTGAGCCATGAAAAAAGATTTTGAATTTATCAAAACAGTTGATAATATAGATATATACCTACAGACAACTTGTGTAGTATTAGTAGCAGACTAGTGTCAGTAATAACACTAATAAAAACAAAACAGTAACAGTGGTAATTATGCTGTATTTTCTATGGGAATAATAATGTTGCTAATGTTAGCTTGTCTTGGCTGCAAAATAAGAGTGACTTCACTGATTTATGTTTGTGAGTAGTAAATATACTACAGAAAGTCTCATGCTACACTAATCTTATAAGGCCCAATGAAAAGATGATTTTGGCTTGTCAAGGAAGCATTTCTATCTGGAATTGTATTATTACAGTTAGGCTTACGTTTATATATACATAATATACACTTTTTTTGTTCCCCTTTCAAACGTTCTTTTGATGATTCACTTTGCTTTACATTAGTTGAAATTGATTTGGTCTAAATATCATACAAATCAGTAACATTACTTACCTCTGTTGAAGTCATCCCCGCAAATCTGTAAATGATCAGGACAGGACCATAATCAGCTGTTGTTTCTGTTCTGTTCCTCGTGCACGCACCTGCTTTCTGCTGTTTCAAACCGGACGAAAATAATGGGGTGCACGGGCTTTGGCGCACACTTCCGGTTGCCCCAAAACGAAAAATGAAATCAAATCGGCATGATAGCATTATTCAATATTTCGTTTTTTAATTTTTTGCATCGAAACGAAAAATCAAATATCAAGCCAATTTTTCGTTTTTCCTTTTCCTCATCAAAATGAAAAATGAAAATTCAAGCCATTTTTTGTTATTTCATTTTCTATTTTAATTTGAAAAAACAATTGAACGAAAAATACACGGACCTATAATAATGGTGTAAAACTATAATAGGATAGAAATGGAAAATGCATATTAGTTTTATTTTCATATTGTCATTAGTGCTTCTCTGTTGATAGCTTTTTTTTCCTCACACAGCTTCAGTGTGTATGGATTGTGATGAAAATCACACTGGCCCTTGAAAACTCTGATATAACTTTGGCATCCCTGCCTTTGGCATTCCTTATGACTAGTAATGCTAATAAAGCATGTGCTGCAGATGAAAAATCAGTTAATCTGGCTATAAAAAGGATACTAGATGAGAGGAGGAATACTTTGGTCAATTCTGGCAAAGGTACAGAGGAGAAAGCCGATTTGAGCTGGTTTTATCCTGCCCCAGACCACTGATCCATGGCTTTTGTGGTTACAAAACCAACAAAAAAAACATCAAAAAATAAAGTTTGGCTTATAATAAAATATGTAAGTTAGTGAGTCATTATTTGAGTTCATAGAATCAATCTATCATAAACAGATTTGTAAAATATATATCCCATACTGGTATTTGTTAAGTTTCTTTCCAACTGTGCTTATATCTGGTGGTTCACACAAAACCATGTTTTATAGAAGGCAAGGCAAAGTTTTTTGTATAGCACAATTCATACACAAAGTAACTCAAACTGCTGAACAAAATAAGATAGCATTAAACTCATAATCACAGTCCATTAAAAAGAAAAATATCAAAATAACAGTTTGTGCTTTAATCGTATTTTGAGTTTGATTTACTTTTTGTTTTAAATAGGAAATAAACTGCTTAATACAATCATGAGTACAATCATAATCTTGATATTTCTGCAGGCGCTTCAGGCAAAGTGGGGTTAAGTGTCTTGCCCAAGGGCAAAACAACAGCAGACATCAGTGAGAATCAGTGGAGAAGGTCTCGTGGTGGGCTCGAACCCATGACTTTCAGGCTCCCACCATTCCCACCATTATCTCAGATAATTCAATCATTATTTCTGAAATTGTGTTTGATAGTTAGATTATTAGGTTAGATAACATTTAGATCCTTTATGCATTGTATTGTTGACAAAGTATTTCTGGCATAATATTTAAAGCAGTATACATAAATATCACCCTCAGCAAGCTTACTTTTTATCAACACCAATTTAAACAGTGACATTTTCAAAATGACATTACTCTAATCAGGCTTCTGTGCAACACAACGCAGAACTATTATGAAGCCATCTCCACTGGCAGCAGTAGGCAGATTCGGTTATTTCCCTGTATTATTCCATGCTAATAAATGAGAAGAATGTGGTTAGGAGACCAATGCGAGACATGAGATGTTACTAGGACATGGATAATTACCGTGCAATGTATATAGCCTGTATCCCGCAGAGGAAAGAACCATCCAAGGGCATGAAGATATTGTAATGTGACTTACAGCGCATGTATGGCGTATTTGAGGTGCGTGATTCCCCATTTCAGCTCCTGTCCTGTGTCTCCTGTGTGTTTCATTGCTCCTGAACCATTATTGGTTTGACTCATATTGGCCTGCTCACAACAGCTATTGCAACTGAAATGCCATTAAGATCTAATTAAGATGTCAAACAAGTCTGAACTCCATAACGGCATTTGGTAATTAGGTCTTTAGCTAACAATTCAATATGGGTGAGAAATTGCCAAGCGATTTACAACTTTGATATAAAACTAATGGGCTTGGCACCAGCAGGAAATACAAAAGTGTGTGTAGATGTTCCAAGTACATACATACACATTATATATCCTCCTTTCATTAACTTCTCAAACTGTTTAAAAGCAAACTTTAGAATTGAAAATAAACTCTTTAGAAACCTTCCTCAATAAAAAGCCTCACAGACTTCATAAAGGTGGACTCAAAAGGCTTGGGGAAAGGGTTGACTTTAAGAAAAAAAAAGTTGCAATCGAAGAATGTCTTTGAACAGTCTTCTAAGGAATGGGGAATAACAATACACTAGCAGTCACTAAACTTTCCAGTTTGCAGTCATCAGGAGTGCTAAACCAAATTTTGGGATTCTATTTTTGGTACAATTATGGTATTTTTATTACCACACCTAGAGGTAATAAAAATGGGCAACTTTGGTGTGTAGTTTTTATGGGGTCTTCCAACCATTAAATCCCATTAGCTTTTTGGGACAATCCATGGTCTTGGCGGTGTTTGCACTTAGAGTGTAAGTTCGAGTTTACTCCATTGTTACTTATGATTAAAAGAATAAACTAGGGAATGGCAAAAGTAATTTGGTTTTCAGATTTTTCAACCCATCCTCTTCTCATCTTACCCATGTATCTATCATAAATATATGGAACTGTCAATGATCCTATATTTTATACTTTGTATGTTCATAATGTCCTCTTTATGGTTAAGGTTTAATGCTGATCAACCTGGAATTCAAGTCTTGATGTTCCAGGTATTTGACAGTTTTGTTTGTTGAGTCGTTCCTTGCTGATGCAGGAGGGTCTAAGGACAGTGATGATCAGGGACATTGACCACTTGACTGGCCTAGAGATCAATGGCTCCAATGTGCTTGTGATTATTCCCTTTCTTTTGTTTGAATTGTTTGATTCCTTGATCTGTGTTTGGTAAATTCAACACCTTAGTCCTACTATGGTTGTGAAAAATAAGAATTCATAAATAAAGCAAAGCAGAAAAGCAAGGAGTGGTCTTTGTGGGACCAGATTAATATTAAAATGTTTTACCTGATTAGTTCATGGTCATTGCCATTTCCAAAAAACAGTAATCATCTCAGTAATGATTTTGTATGTGTCTTGTGCTGGGTAATATAAGGTAATCTTACTCAAAAGATTGACTTAAAACCTGCACAATATATTTTCACATTTATTCACACATATTATCCCAACCCCAGGCGCGAATATGTATTTAATTCATCTGCTCATTAGTGTATCTCAGTGTGCATCTCATCATGGTGAGCATCCTCATCATGTAAAAAATGTAAGTTTTTGTGGCTGTATTTAGATAAAATAACCTTATTTAAGTAAATCAAGCCATAACACAACGACCCCTCTCTTCCCATTTGTCATTTAGTCATCTAAACTCCCAGCTGTGAGGAAAATCAACAGAAACATACAGATGGACAAAATTCACAAATACCTGACTTCTATATGGAAATGTCTGAAGACCAACTACTGTACATGGTCTCTGGTGGTGTAATAATGTCACAAAGCCTGACCTGCTTCAAGAAGAGGACAATGCTGATGTGCCCTGACTGCCCCTGTCTTAAAGCTGCCTGACTGCTTGGCTCGTCTGTATATACTGTTGACGGTGCGTGTGACTTTTCCAGCCCTGATCTAATAATAGCAGGAGTAGGAGACCTGTTTCTTGGGAAACACAGTGACATGCAGGTCAGCAAGGTGGCTGCAGGTTCACAGCACTTCCCCAAGAGCCACTTGTGAAGGTACAGATGAACATATGTGACCACAAATGCCTGACAGTCACCTAGGGCTGGGCGATTAATCGATTTTAATCATTAATTCGAGTTTTACGTTTAGGGCGATTTCTTTTTTTAAAAATTCGATTTTTATTTTCTCCAGCGCAGAACTACAGCGCTAACGCGCTAACCGCGGGTCTTTGGTGTTGAGCAGTCATTTTGAAGCTAACCTAATGCTAACAGTCTCCCTCTGGCCTGAGGCTCGCTCTCACAGTTGGTGCTATTGCAATAACACTTCAAACGTTCAAGAATCAGACTTTATTTAAATCGCCAAAACACACGCACGCAGGCTCCGGTCGCTATGTTCGTACGCCATGTTCGTACGCCACATCTTTCACGCTCTCTCACGCTCGTTATTCCAAAGCGCACTCCCGTGTCCGTGGCGCGCACACACTCGTGTCCCACTGAGCCGCTGCACTTTGGGGAAAGACACGTCTCACACATTGCTCTCATTGCTCTGATACAAACAACGTGTTCCCCGCTGTCTGTTAGCTACAGTAGCTGCTACAGTAGCTGTTAGCTACAGTAGCTGTTAGCTACAGTAGCTGCTACAGTAGCTGTTAGCTACAGTAGCTGTTAGCTACAGTAGCTGCTACAGTAGCTGCTAGCTACAGTAGCTGCTACAGTAGCTGTTAGCTACAGTAGCTGTTAGCTACAGTAGCTGCTACAGTAGCTGCTAGCTACAGTAGCTGCTACAGTAGCTGCTAGCTACAGTAGCTGTTAGCTACAGTAGCTGCTACAGTAGCTGTTAGCTACAGTAGCTGCTACAGTAGCTGTTAGCTACAGTAGCTGCTACAGTAGCTGTTAGCTACAGCATCAGAATGTAAACAGGAAGCTCGCACAATGCGGGAGTCACTGAAGTTAGTATTAGCGCCACCAGCTGGACCGAGCGTTGTACTACAGCACAGTTACTCAGGCACAGTTGAAAGAACAAGCATGAAAACCCGAGGAGGCTTTTGGAAAATACTGTCTGTTACAACATTTCTATTTTGAGTAATCAGTTTTAAAAATGTGATATTTCATGTGAATAATGCATGTGTTTAATAGGATTGATATATTTGCGATGGGCCTTGTTTGTGTGATTTAAGTTATTTTGAAGGTGCATAGTGTCATTGTAAGTGAAGTTATTATAAAACTGTTAAGCTACATTTTCACTGTTTACAATGGCAGAGCCATCTCGTTTACAAGCATGTTTTAAGGCTTAATTCC